TCCCCACTTCGCCCGGCTTCTGGGCTGTCCGCTGGGCCCGCACTTCCCATTCCCTCACACTCCGCAGATGCCGGTGGCCGTGGGTCCCTACGGGCAGTCCCAGCCAAGCTGCTTCGACCGCGTGAAGATGGGCTTTGTCATGGGTTGTGCCGTGGGCATGGCGGCCGGAGCGCTCTTTGGCACCTTTTCCTGTCTCAGGTGAGGGACGCAGTTGGTGAACTTTGGGAGGGACTTCACGGCTTGCTCGATTGCATCCTGAATAGAGCCTGATTCAGGCTGGGAGCGCAGAGCAGAGCCCTACAGTCAAATTCTTTTTGCCCCTTCTTTCATTTGTTCAGTGAGGTGAGGCAAATTGGAGGCGTAGTTTCATCAAGTGGAGATGAAAACAGTAACACCTAACCTTTGTAAGAATCAAGTCAGCACGCATTGTGTAGAATCTGGCACATAGCAAGGGCTTAGTAAATAATTATTACTGCTGTTGCTGCTATTTTTATATCCAGTTGCACAAAATGAAGATTGTTGAGGTGTTTGCCCTGGGAATGAGATGTAGAGATGAAGTATATAACACTGTACACTTGGAAGGTCATTTTCTCATTTGGGCAGTGTTATTCCCGTGTTTCCAGATTATAAATTACAATATACTGAGCAGTACCATATTTAACAAACCAGTTCTGTTGGCCGGGTATGGTGGCACTAGCCTGTAATCCCAGCAGCTTGGGAGGCTGAGACAGGAGGATCTGAAGTTTCAGGCCAACCTCAGCAATTTAGCCAAACCCTGTCTAAAAGTAAAAAACAATTGGGGCTGGGGATGTGGCTCAGTGGTTAACTCCCTCTGAGTTCCTTCAATCTCTGGTACCACCCCCCCCAAAAAAAAAAGAAACCCACTTCTGTGTTTTGATGCCCATTTTATGTTTTTTTGAAACAGCCTATAAAATCACAGAGCTGGTTCTTGAACCCATGATCAACTCCAAAATCATCAATACCAAAAACCAACTAAGACAAATATCTATTCGATGACACTCAGGAGGCAAAACCAACTGTAAAAACTGCTTTCACAACAGGAGTGATAGTGACCCCTGTAGTTCCACACTCAGAGGACTGAGGCAGGAGAATTGCAAATTCAAGACCAGCCTCTCTCCAACTTAGCAAGACCCTATCTTAAAAAAATAAAAGAGGCTGGGAGTATAGTGCAGTAAGACACCCTTATCATTCATTCCCCAGTGCCACCATGCACTTGACACTATCTCCTGTCTCCCACAAATTGAAAGCAGTTGATATGACATTCTATTGAATTTCCTAGAGACCCTGATTAATCTTTTTTTCATTACCCATTTGGGAAGAGGTAAAATTTCTCAGTACCAAGTGATATAAAGGAATTGCTAGATTTTAGTAGTGCATAATTCATAATTATTACAAGTGCAGATTGGAAAAAGAAAGTATTTTTGTATTTTTGTTCCCAAATGGCCCCATCTTGGTTTCCTCCTCAGGATCGGAATGCGGGGTCGGGAGCTGATGGGCGGCATTGGGAAAACTATGATGCAGAGTGGCGGCACATTTGGCACATTCATGGCCATCGGAATGGGCATACGATGCTAACCAGGACAGTGGTTGCCCACTACATCTACATCTTCCTATCCACCCTGGCCCTTGTACCATAATAAAACAAAGTCTTTTCTTCGCATTTTCAGTCTATTATTATCCAACTTGGCCAAAGATTTTGCAGAGTAAAAACAGGTAGGCTAATGAGTAGGATTGGTGCTGTTTACAGGGCCTGGATTAGATATCCAAAATTGGAAATTTGGGGATGCGTGATACCCTCCATATACTCTACTAAACTTTATTTTTTTAATAACTTTATTTTTTATGTGGTGCTGAGGATCGAACCCAGGGCCTTGCACATTCGAGGCGAGCGCTCTACCCGAGCCATAACCCCAGCCCTCTATTAAAACTTTCAATTCAACCCTGTAAATTTGATGTTTTTGTAACAGTTTGTGAGGTTAAACACTGTAAAACCTATGTTTCCTCAATATAACACACTGTAAAAAGTTTTATTATTTTTTTTTTTGTGGTACTGGTATTGAACACAGTAGTTCTCAACCACTGATAACATACCCAGTTTGTTTTTTTGATACAGAGCATTGCATTGCTTAACCCCTGAGCCACATCCCCAGCCCTTTTTATATATTGAGACAGGGTCTGACAGAGTTGCTGAGGCTGGCTTTAAACTTCTGATCCTCCTAACTCATCCTCGCAGATTGCTGAGATTACAGGCATGCACCACCACACCCAGGCTTATTTTTTGTTTGGTACTCAGGAATGAAACCAGGGGGTACTTTACCACAGAGCTACATCCTCAGCTTTTTTCTTTAAGACACACTCATATAGGTGCTAGGACTAACCTTGAACTTGGAACTTCCACGAAATTGCTGAGCTTAAGGCACATGCCACTATGGCTGGCATAGAAAATTTTTTTTTTCCTTTAAATTGTTTTTAGTTGTTGATGGACCTTTATTTGCTTGTTTATATGTGGTGCTGGGAATCGAACACAGTGCCTCACAGGCAAGCACTCTACAGCTGAGCTACAACTCCAGTCCTCCCAAAGGATTTTAATAACTTATCCTGGTCCCACCTGAAATTGATCTTCTTGCTTGATCAGAAAAGAACAGCTTATACAATGAAAAAAAAAAATCTGAAATATCACTTTTCTATCTTCTTAAGTGGCTAAATCCCAGATAACATCCTAACCAGGCCTCAATGATGTCAACTATAACCTGATCCTCCACAAAATTCTTTGTCTTGAAATAACATTGGGATTACAGGCTTGAACTTGAACTTCCCCTTGAACTTTTGATCCTCCCATCTCAGCCCCATTACTGGCTGAGATTACACTTATGCCACCACAATAGGCACTACCCCTTAACTACTTGTTCAATCAAAGGCCTGGGTTCATTCCCCAGTACCACCACCTACCCGCTCCCCCCATTCAAAAAAGAAAAAAAAAATGTATGGGAGAGACAGGCCAATCGGCTTTTAAACCATACATTTCTTAAAATGACATAGTGTGTCAGGAGTTGATGACTTCAATCTAATTTAATGGCCATTTTTAACTTCTTTCTATGCATCAAAGTTCCAGGCAGAGGTTCAAAGCCTGCCTCAGCAATACCAAGGTGCTAGCCAATTCAGTGAGACCTTGTCTGTAAATAAAAAACAAATACAAAATAGGGCTGGGGATGTAGCCAAGTGCCCAAGTTCAATACTCAGTGCCAAGGGAAAAAAAAAAGTACAAAAACTAAACCATTATATTATGTGGTAGTATCACCACTGAACAACTTATCTCCAGTATTTTTTAATCTTTTGGTCTATAGTGAGGATTGAATTCCAGAGGACTCTACCATTGAGCAACTACCCTAGTCCTCCTAATTTCCAGAGGCTGGCCTAGAACTTGTTCTTTCCTGCCTCCCCCAATCACTGGAATTACAAGTGTGTACCACCACACACCAACACTTTCTTGAATTTTGAGAAGGGTTTACTAAGTTGTCCAGGTAGCTTCATATTTGTTCCTTCGGCCTGAGCCTCCTGAGTAGGTATCATTACACTTATGCTTAACTGCCCAGTCCCCATTATAGTTATCCATTATAAACTGAATTTTTCTGTGGTTCACCGGTGGATAACTTACAACTACACAATACATTACTGTCCTAGTTCCCTATAAAGGAATGACAATAAACTTTATATGACATGGTATAGAAATGGGAGTAAAACTTCAGGAGGGGCTGGGGTTGTGGCTCAGCAGTAGAACACTCGCCTAACACATGAGGGGCCCTGGCTTCAAACTCAGCACCACATAAAAATGAATAAATGGAATAAAAGGTAATGTGTCCTACTATGGTATCAGGAGATTCTTTGGGAGAAAAAAATATTGAAAGAATGTGTCCCTGCCCCCAAAACACCGGAACCTGTTATTGACTTGAATTTTTTGTTAAATAGAACAGTGAAGATTTGTCCACCAAGATGGCCAGACCATAGACAACATAAAAACCAGCCAGGTTGAGGAGAAGATCTCAGTAAACTTGCTTGATTTTCTCTATTTTGATACATGGACTTAAAAAGTACAATGCTACGCTAGAGTAATGATGCTGTGAAGGAACTGACAGGGATTGTATACGGGTACGAATTTCCCCAGACTACACATTAAGAATCATTTCACCACTAGAAGTCAAACAAGCTTTTA